GGGGGCGTCCTAGGGGCAGAGTTAGGCAGGGTCAGTGCTGGGAGGCAGGACAAAGAGATGGAGATGCCCCATCAGGGCCCCTCTAGCCTGTCCCCGACTGCCCAGGATCCATGCGTGTCCTTTGTGGCCTGGGAAACCATCTCTAGGTGATGGATCCCAACCCCCACACCTCTCGAGCTTCCCCTTTGCTCCCAAGCTGGTGTCAGGTCACACCTGAGCTGCGCAGGGGGCTCTCTGGTTACCGCTAGCAATGGCTTTGCCTGCCCGCTAATGCCCTGTAATTATTCTCCCAGCGGCTCCCTGCTCTGCTTGTCCATTGTGATCTCTGAGTCCTGCACCGTGGGAATGTGCCACCTCTGCAGCCCCTCCCCCCAGCATTGGGGAGAGCCTCCCCCCACCACATACACACACACACCCCAGTCTGATCCCCCGTGGCTCAGCCCTCAGCTATTGTGGCCATGCTGCCAACCCTAGGATGCAGGAGGTTGGGGGGTGTCACCGGAGCCGGTGTCCCCTAGAGCTGGGTTAGGGCGGGGGTCTTGCAGTGCTCATTGTAACTCTGGATTCTCTTTCCTGGGCAGGGGCGGCCACGCTGGAGGATGAGTAGGCAGGAGGCTGTCCCGGGACGACCTCTGAACCCCTGATCCCAGGGGGCTGCCCCCTACATCCCAGCTGGAGCCAGCCATGGAGCACCCCGTGGCCAGAGGGGCGCTGGCAGGGGGCGGCACCAGGCTGTCTGCCTCGGAGCGGAACATCCGACGCCAGAGGCTCATCGTGTACAGGTGTGTGGGGGGGGTTCACCTCTGTCCAACGGCCTCCCCTCTGGGGTCAGGGCCTGTCCATCCCACCCTGGGCAGACCTCACCGGGGGCAGCGCCCTTCCTCTTTCCCTGGGCGTGGCCAGGACGACTGTGTGTTTGTGGGGGGAGGGGGAGAGATTCAGGGGCTGTGGGTGGCAGACAATGAGGGGCAGTGGTCTGAGCCAGGCCGGGTGGGGGATTTTGGGGGGGGGAGCTGTGGGTCTCTGGGTCCTGGAGCGAACATCATGCCAGTAATCAGGGGGATTTGGGGTCAATGGCCCCCATGAGTGACCCCATCTCTCTCTTCCAGACCCTCCACTGAAAAGCAGAGCTCCCCCGCCCCCCGGGGGCCTGAGGAGAAGGCTCCCCCGCTGTGCTGGCTGCCCCGGGGCAGGGCCGGGTCTCCTCAGGCAAGGCGCCAGTCGGAGAGGCTGCAGGGCAGACGGCAGCGGCTGCAGCAGGGGGTGCCTCAGTGGGGCCAGGGGGCGGAGCTGTGGCTGGTGGCCTCGCCCATGGAGAGAGCCCGGCACAGGGTACTGGCCATTGCCCTGGAGGAGTGTCTTGCCACCACACAAGGGGCTGTGAGTGCGAGGGGGAGGGGTGGTCTGGGGGTAGGGGGGCCCTGCTTAGAGATCTGATGGCCTGAGCCCCCCC